GAATACTATGCAGGTGTAAGAAAGAAAGATCTCTTACCCTTTGAGATGATGTGGAGGAATTTGGAAAGTATTATGCTAAATGAAATAAGCCAATCAGAGAAAGACAAATATCACATGATTTCACTTATTTGTGGAACATAGTGAACAAAATAAGCTGATGAACAAAATAGATCCTGAGACATGGAAGGAGGGAACAGACTGACAAACCTCGGAGGGAAGGGAAGTAGGAGGCAGGAAGAGATAAACCAAGAACTGATATGCCTATATGCATAACCAATGGAACAGAAAACAGTATGGTGAAGGGGTTGGGTTGGAGCAGGGAGGAGGCTGTCAAAAGGGGGAAAATGAGGGACATCTGTAATAAAAAATATTAATAAATTAAGTGTTAAAAAACAAAAAGTTAAGCTATTATGAACATGTTTTTGGCAAAATAGTCATCATAGGAATAGAAAATTAAAACAAATTATTTAAGCCCTAGACAGTGTTGCTCAGGGGTTAGAACGTTGGCCTACCAACCAAGGAGTCCTGGGTTTGATTCCGGCCAAGGGCATGTACCTTGGTTGCCATTTGTCCCCAGCCCCCGGGGCAGTGCAGGTGGCAACCAATTGATGTGTCTCTCTCACATCAATGTTTTTTGTTTTTTTTTTAAAGATTATTTAAAAACTTAAAAAAAAAAAAAAAAAAATGGAGGCCTGGAACCTTAGATTCTTCCTTTACAAGTGCATATGGTGATGATAATAGAGGAGGGGACGGAGTTGATCCAGTCATTTCCAATGAGAGCAGTTTAAGGAGTGGTGGAGAAAGCAGTCCAAAGGGCAAACAGCTTGGGGTTCCTCCAGGAAAGTAAAATACTGAATGTTGGGTCTGGCAAAGTTGGTGGACTGGGCTCAGGGGAGCGCTCACAGAGACAAGAGAATTTAGTTCAGCAGGGGGTTCAGGGTTGAAGGAAGTGCTGGGCAGAGCGAAGAAGTTATATCCAAAGGCTTGAGTAAGGGCTGTGGAAGCGTCCAGGGTACAAAAAAGAGCGCTCTCTCTTTCTCTCTCTCTGAGATTCTATAACCTATAGGTGGAAAGGTTGTGGGGAGGAGAAGTTGTGTGTTTTACAATGTTCTCCGTCCACGGACATTGCCTTGCGACGGGCAGAGTGCCTAGTTCGTATTTCCCGGTCCAAGATTGATTTATCCTTTCATGGGAGCACCTTATTGTCTCTCTCTGTCTCTCTCTCTTTTTAATTTATTGATTTGAGAGCAAGAGCAAAGGGAGAAGGCTAGAAAAGGGATTTCTCCTTTATGTTGGAGGCCATCAATACACCTCTGTTGTCAGAGGCCACTGGGAAAGAAAGACAAGAGAGTGAGAGAGTTTAGGAGCAAAATCAGAAAGAAGGAAGAACTGTTTCCTGGTTAGCAAGTCCTTATCAAGTGTGAAAGCTAAAACCTGAGAAGAAACAGAAGAATCCCTGGGACTCAGCCATCCTTCCGAGGCCAGAAAGTGTAGGTCATCTTCATCTGGGGTACAGGTGGTGGTCTTTGGGGTCTCCCTTCATAGTTGCTAGAAAAGATTATGGTGGAGGGGCAAGTCCCTAGTGGGGACAGACCCTTGAGCCAAAAGGATTCTTGGCTTTGCACAGGAAAGAATTCAAGACTCCAGCTAGACAAGAGGTGAAAGTAGAAAATCAGGTTTATTGAGCAGAAAGATGATAAGCAAGAAAAACCACTCCACAGAGAGGGTAGTGGACTCACCTCACTGTCGAAAGAAGAGAGACCAGCAGGAAAAACTACTCTGTAGACAGGGTAACAGACTCTCTTCATGAGAGAAGGAAGAGAGACCTCAACTATTTCTAGAGGTTAAGCTTATATTTATTTATAGTTTCTATGGAAAATTGCTGGTATGGGGAAAAAGAGAGTGGAAAAAAAGTGTTGGGATCAACTTTAAGCTTTATAAGGTATATTTTGTGGCCTTGTGTTTTTCTTTTATGATGTGGGTAAATGATAAGGTATGGTATGGGTGAGTAGATATTCATCTTTGCAAGAATTTTCTTTGTCTGGAGGCTGTTTGTGGTCTCCCTGCATCTCTGGTCAGCTGAGTTCCATGTCAGGCAGCGAGGGGCAGGCCCCTGACTAAACTTTGACTGTAGTTAATTTATATGGTTCTCATGCCCTTCTCTTATATTGGGATGACCAAGATGCTGGATGTGAAGTAAAGCAAGAGTATGGAGCCTTGGAGCCTGAGGTGACAGGCAGGATGGGCAGAAGGTCTGAGGCAGAGGATTGCATACTTGAGACTGATCAGATACTGACCAGGGACTGGGCCCCCTAGGAGTGGGGACAGCAGTGTCACTGGAAAGGGACTGGGCCTGGAGCTGGTCTGCCTCGGGCTGACCTGTAGTGTGTGGGTTTTTGACTTCATGCAGGAAATATTTCAGGTGACATGAGTCCAGGTGATTTTTTTTTTTTTTGGTGGTACTTGCCCCTAGAGGGAACTGAACCCGGGACTCTCTGGTCCGCAGGCCGATGCTCAACCGCTGAGCCAAACTGGCCAGGGTAGAGTCCAGGTGATTTTGAGAGTACATTTATTGACACTGGGGACAGTGAAACAAAGGAAGGGCTTAGGGTAGAAGAAGACAGGAGAGAGACTAGGCATGGCTGCAAAGTGGGGCTGCTGTCAAGCCTCTGGGGAGTCAGAGAAAATGGGGATTTGGGGACGGGTTCAAGGGGTTAGCCTGGGATGAACTGCTGCTGCCTGCTGCTTCCCTGGTTGCAAGTCTTGTGGGGACACTTAGAGTTTAGGAGAAAATTAATTAAGAAAGAAAAGGCATGGGCATACTGCCCACAGTTGGCATCTTTTGTCTTGAGGGCTTTTATTTTTCTTCTATAGGCAGGAACACTAGGGGAGGTCTCAGAAGAGGGTTTCAGCAGAATGTTCCTGGGATTTCCAGCTGTGTGTTTTTAATGTGTTGGTATACCAAAATGAGTGAATAGAGGGACCAGGATCATTTTCTGGTCTGCTTTGCTTCTATCTTGGATTTATTTGTTTCTAATTGGTCTTTTTGTTATTTATTCCCCTGACATTATGTGTCCTTGAAATTGGCTGGCACTAAGGGCACCAACTGTGTCTCTGTTCTCTATCTCCCTGACCAGGGTGATTTGAGCTATTTACTCTCTGGTTAGGGAACAGAGGTGTAAACCCTTTGCTCTCGTGTCCTTGTTTAGGGAAGATATGATCTTTCGATTTACTAGCTGGCAGTAAATTGCTTGACTTGTTTGGCCTTATTTGTCTAACAAGCTGTCTCAGTTTTCCTTTTCCCACTTGTCAGAAATTCTCCTAATATCTAACTATACTAACTATACTACCTCAGCAGGACTGACATTTGGGACAGGGCGGGAGGAGTTGTGGCAGAGTTTGCCAAGTCCTTAGGGGTACAGAGGCAAGGGAGCCAGAAGGACTGAGTTGAGGAATCCCTTAGGGCAGGGTTCCTGGATGCCTGGGTGTTCAGGGGCCTGGAGGTGTGAGGTGTGTGCACCAGCCTGTGCGGACACCTTCAAGGGTTTTGAGACTTAGTGGGAAAGAGGTGCTTTTTATTTTTATTTGTTCTATTTTAATCCATTTGATTCTTCAAGGCAATGTATTCACATATTTAAAGAGTTACAAACTTGCATAAGACTTTATTATTCCAAAACTTCTCTTACTTCTTGCTCCCTGAGGAAATATTTTCAAACCTTTGAACTTTTCTCTGGGAGTTTTAGTTTTTCCTTTTGTATCTGCATTTCTCCTCTGTGCGCTTCCTTCACCAGCTTCACTATATTTGACTGCTTTGGTCTGAAATATCTCCTCATTGTTTTTTTTCTGCCCCCTGGTCACACTTTGCTGCTGCTGTGTGTAGTCAGCCATTTATTTTTCTTTCCCCTTTTAGTCATACCCGTCACTACATTTTGCACTGATTGCTTTTTGACAACTCATTTGGGAATGAGACTAAATTCAGAGGTTCTGGGAGTGGGTCTAGGGCTTTGTCTCAGGCTCTCATGTTTTCTTTATGTCCAAGATTTTTGTGTGTAGTTATTTTTCCCTTAAAAATAAGGGAAATGACATATAAGAGGTACATTATAAAACATATCTCAGAGGTTTAAAGAATACCACTCAACCCAAGATCTGTGTATTCACCATCAATCTTTAAAAAAAATTGTGGCCCTGGCCAGTTTGGCTCAGTGGTTGAGCGTTGGCCTGCAGACCACAGAATCCTGGGTTTGGTTCTTGCTAGGGGCACATACCACTAAAAAAAAAAGTTGTGTATGTTTTAAAATTTTTATTGATTTCTAGAGAGAGAGGAAGGGACAAGGAGAGAGAGAGAGAAAGAGAAACATTGATGTGAAAGCAGAACATCAATTGTCTGCTTCCTGCTTGCCCCCTACTGGGGATTGAGTTTGAAACCCGGGCATGTGCCCTGACCAGGAATCGAACTGGCAACCTTTAGGTGCACAGGATGATGCTCAACCAATGGAGCCACACTAGCCAGGGCATATTCACCACTAATCTTAAAACAAATTATTTTTCTTTATTGATTTTAGAGAGAGAGGAAGGGAGATGGAGAGAGAGGTAGAAACATCAATGAGACAGAACATCGATTGGCTGCCTCCTGCATGCCCCCCACTGGGAACTTGGTCCACAACCTGGGCATGAGCACTGACTGGGAATTGAACCGGCGACCTCTTGGTGTATGGGTAGATGCTCAAACACTGAGCCACACTGGCCGGGCCACCACTAATCTTAAATGAACTCTATATATCCTTATCTTATGACTTTTTTGTAAAGTCCAAGTCATTATACCACCCTCCCCAAACACTGTCTTAAATTTTATGCTTGTCAATTATAATTTGACTAAAATTGTATGCCAGAAAAAAATGTATTGAGTAGTTTTGCGTGTCCTTAGATTCCATATGAATTGTTTACGTACTGTGTTTTCTTCAGTGTTTTTCCTTTGTTAATGCACTTTGTTGTTTTCACAGGATGATTCGAAGACCAAGCACAAAGCCAAAGCAGTTTTAACTACTTTATACTATTTAGTAAGTTTAATAAACAGGCAACAACTGATTTCTCCATTGTTCTGTTAAATGATGTGTAGATTGTTTAAAAAAATTTTTTTTTTTTTTATCCTCACCCGAGGACATTTTTCCATTTTTTTGTTCAGATAGAGTAGGAGGGTGAGAGAGGGAGAGAGAGAGAGAGAGAAACGTTGACGTGAAAGGGACACATTGCACAACCTGGGTTGTCACCTGCACAACCTGGGTTGTCACCTGCACAACCCAACCATGGCTGGGGACAAACTGCAATCGAGGTATGTGCCCTTAGCGGGAACCGAACCCGGGTCTCTCTGGACCACAGGCCGATGCTCTAACCGCTGAGCCAAACTGGCCAGGGCTGTAGATTGATTTTAGTTTGGGACATTATCATTATTATTATTATTATTATCAGTATTAATCTTTACTGTTAAAAATTAGATGGTCATTTTGTGTGTGTCTAGATCTGGACTCTTTACTCTGTTCCATTTATTTAGTTATTATTTTTTAAAATCCTCACCCGAGGATATTTTTTTATTTATCTTCAGATAGAGTGGGAGGGAGAGAGAGGGAGAGACAGGGAGAGAGAGGAAAACATCGACGTGAGAGGGACACATCGACTGGTTGCCTCCCATGCGACTCCTCCGAGGGCTGGGGGTGAACTGCAACCGAGGTACGTGCCCTTGGCCGGAATCTAACCCAAACTCATTGATTCACACAGGCCAATGCCCTACTGCTGAGCCAAACTGGCCAGGTCTGTTCCACTGATTTATATGTGTATCCTTCAATCAATACTGCAACGTATTTATTGTAACTCTACGCTAATTCCTAAAATTGGGCAGTATGAGTTCAACTTTATTTGTTTTTTTCAAAAAATTTGGCTTTACTAGTCCCTTTGCCTTTCCACATAAATTTTAGAATACTTTTGTCTATACCTATAAAAAATATTGCTGAGATTAAAAAAAAGTTTTTTCTTTATTGATTTTAGAGAGAGAGGAAGGGAGAAGGAGAGAGAGATAGAAACATCGATGAGAGAGAACATTGATTGGCTGTCTCCTGCACACCCCCACTGGGGATTGAACTCACAACTGGGGCGTGTGCTTTGACTGGGAATCGAACCAGGACCTTTCAGTCCATGGGACAACTTTTAATCCACTGAGCCACACCAGCTGGGCTTTGGGGAGTTTTTAAATTTATAAATTCAATTCCTTTATAAGTATAGGGCTGCTCAAATAATGTTTTATGCTGGGTGAGCTGTGGTATTAGGCTTTTGAGCCATTGGTACATTTTATTTCAGTTGTCAAACCTACGTGAGTAGAGTCTTTATAGTTTTCCCATATTGCCCTTTGAGATTGTTTTGCCCGAACTGGAATCTTTTCAGTCATTATTTCTTTGGATACTTTCTAGCTCCGCACTCTTTCTCCTTCCCTTCTGGGCTCTCCTGACAGGAAAGGCCGATGTTTGTTGCAGTCCCACAGATCCTGAGGCCCTGTTCATCTTCTTGCTGCTGTATTTTCCCTCTGGCTTTCACACTGTGTCATTTCTATGGGTCATTTCTATTGTTTCATGTTTTTTTTTATCCTCACCCAAGGACATTTTTCCATTTTTTGTTCAGATAGAGTGGGAGGGAGAGAGAGGACATGCGAGAGAAACATTGATGTGAAAGAGACACATCGAGTGGCTGCCACCCTCACGACCCAACCAGGAATGGGGACAAACTGCAACCAAGGTGCATGCCCTTAGCAGGAACCGAACCCAGGTCTCTCTGGACCGCAGGCCGACACTCTAACCGCTGAGCCAAACCAGCTAGGTCTGTTGTTCCATGTTTAAGTTCCTTGATTCCCGCCTCTGCTCTGTTGGCCCCATCCTGATGTTGAGCCCATCTAGTGAGTTTTTTATTTTATAATTACATTTTTCAGTTCTAGAATTTCTTTGTTTAAATTTTAAAAAGCAAAGTTTAATAATAACAAGCAAGACCTTTCACAAGAATTTTAGATATGAATCCAACTTCCATATTTTAGTTAATGTGAAAACTTGTTTCACATTATACTTTTCCAAGTTAGAGTAATATACCAGATAGGACAACCAGTAAATTTTTACTGGCTAAGAATAACTTCTATCCAATATTTTTATTAAGCTATAAATAAGGGAACTAAAAATATTAGGGAAATGTAAAATGTTCCAACACTTTAAGTCTCTACTTATTACAAGGGGTGTAAAAAAAGGAATTTAATCACTTTGAATTCTAATTACAGCAGAACCTTTATTTTTCTGGTGTTGGATATGGGGTCTTTTGAGAAGAAATATTCTACAGCAAGTTCATCATGATTTTCTGTGCCACATAGGTGGAGAGTACTGGGAGTAAAGTTCTGCAATTCCCAAGAGTAGAGTACTTAGTATCCTGAATGAAAACTGTGGAAATGTGAGGACATGCCTTATAAACGTATGCACTGAAATTTATGTAACAGTACAGGAAATTAGAAATCATTATCAGGATTAAAAACAGAGTATTGTAAAATAATTTCAAAACCAAAATGAAAGTTTGCTTATTCACCTTTTAATGAATTATTTGGTTAATTAATTCAAGGGAAATTCTTGGAAGAATATTAAATTGGTGCCCCTATTTCACTGCCCCATTTCAGCTACACTGTATTATATACTAAGAATGCTGGCAATTACTCCCTCATCTATACAGGTTCTGCCATCTAGTGGCAGTTTTTTAACCTGTAATTTAAAAAGAGACACTTGGCCCGGCTCTGGTAACAAATAGATGCTGATGGTTTGTCTAATAGTTATTTTATGAAGTAAGCAAATATATTTGGTACATAAACGCCATACCACTAGTCAAACTACTGACTTATTACTTATCAACTGAAAAAAGTCAAAACATAAAAATAAATCTCTCTGTGTTACAGTAACTACTTCACAGCAAATCTTTCTGACTTCCCCATTCATTCCATTTTATCCAGTGATGTCACATGGATAATGATGCACCAAAGAAAAGTAAAGAATTGAAAACTTCTAGAAGCAGTGATGAAATATCCTCAATTGAAGACGATGATCCTGGTCACTATGCAATGTCTCCTGTCTCCTTCCAGGTTGGATGTAGCCTACCAAAACCTCTGACAGCGTAGAAGTAAACAATAAACTCCTGATGAATACCTTTCTATCGGGTTATACATAAAACAGCTAGTATTATTTGCAACATTCATCTTAAATTTAGAAGTTGAAACTAAAGATTAAAATTAAGATTAGGAATTAGAAATATATTTCCTTTGAGGTACTGCTTTTAAGAAATTGAACATGCCCTGGCCGGTTTGGCTCAGCGGTTAGAGCGTCGGCCTGCGGTCCGGAGAGACCCGGGTTCGGTTCCCGCTAAGGGCACGTACTTCGGTTGCAGTTTGTCCCCGGCCCTGGTTGGTCGTGCAGGTGGCAGCCACTTGATGTGTCCCTTTCATGTCGATGTTTCTCTCTCTCTCTCTCTCCCTCCCACTCTATCTGTACAAAAAATGGAAAAATGTCCTCAGGTGAGGATAAAAAAAAAAAAAGAAATTGAACATGATAAAAAGATAACAGGAATCTGAAACTACTACCACGTGGGATTCCTTAACCTTTTTTTTTTTAAATCCTCACCTAAGGATATTTTTCTATTTATCTTCGGATAGAGTGGGAAGGAGAGAGAGAGGGAGAGAAAGAGAGAGAAACATCGTGTGAGAGAGACACATCGACTGGTTGCTTCCTGCACGACCTGACCAGGGCCAGGGACGAACCGCAACCGAGATATGTGTCCTTGGCCAGAATCGAACCTGTAAGTCTTTGGTCTGTGGGTCAATGCTCTAACCACTGAGCAAAACTGGCCAGGGCTCAAGATATCTTTTGTTAGCCTCAGAAAGTTTTTGAGTCACTTCTGTGAAAACAGCATCTTCCCTCTTCTGTGCTACTTTGTGCTTGAGAACAAATTCCACATATTTGTAGGTGAAGGCTACCGAATAAGTGCTTACTAGGGTTACCACACTGTACAGAACAGCAGTCTGAATAAGATCCATTGTTGTATTTGCCAGTATACCCAGATGGGGCTGGGGGACACAATGAAGGCATTTCTGAAGAAGGCCACAGAGGCCTTGGTGGCGAGGTTGCAGCTGAAATCCTGAAGGAGTAGGTTCTCCTCGAACTGCTGCTTAAAGTTACCTTTGGGAGCCACAGTGGAGCTAGGAGACCCAGTTCTAGAATTTCTGCTTGGTTCTTTACATCTTCTGTCCTGTTCCTGAGGTGTACCTCAGTTCTGATACATGCATACTTGCTTATCGGAGCATTTCTGAGATGGCTGCTTGAGTCCTTGTCAGATATTCTGGCATCTCGGTGTTGATACCGTAGGGCCAGAAAAACGTTCTCTTTCCTTCTAGATTCTGTTTCTGGTCTGATCATGACATTGACAGAGACTGATCACAGGAGAACGACAGATTCAATTTTGTATGCAAGGGAGCCCTGTAAAAATCTGAGATCCAAAGGCAGTCAGGCAGTTGAGGCTTACGTGCCGTGCCGTCCCACCTAAGGACTGGCAAAGGGGCCTGGGGCTTCAAAGGGGAGAAGGGCGATTCACAGGAAGATAACAGCAGATATTTAGTAATGAATTGTTTGCCCTGTCATGCAGGTAAATCTTTCAGATGAAAACGCTCTTTCTAGTAATAGCTCTCTGGGCCAGGCCTCCTATCTAAATTCTTTTTTAAAATGTTTATTTATTTTTTCTTTATTGATTTTAGACACAGAAGAAGTGAGAGGGAGAGAGAGATAGAAACATTGATGAGAGAGAACATCGATTGGCTGCCTCCTGCATGCCCCCCACTGGGGATCGGGCTCACAGCCTGGGCATGTACCCTGACTGGAAATTGAACCGGCAGCCTCTTGGTGCATGGGTCAATGCTCATCCATTGAGCCATACCGGCCAGACTTATCTAAATTTTTTTTTAGGCAGATGAGGGAGAAGTAAAAGTTTTTTCTTCTGGGTCTTGATTGCTTTCTGCTTAAAAAAATCCACCTGCCAAAGTGTTACATTTTTGGGGTGATTGAGGTGACCTGTTCTGTTCTCTTTCAGTGTCTTTTTAAAATTTATTATTATTATTATTTTTATTCTCACCAAGGACATTTTTGCATTTATGTTCTGATAGAGCAGGAGGGAGCGAGAGAGGCTGCGAAGAGAGAGAAAGAAACATCGATGTGAGAGAGACACATCAAGTGGCTGCCACCCACACGACCTCAACTGGGGCCAGGGACAAACTGCAACCAAGGTATGTGCCCTTAGCAGGAACTGAACCCGGGTCTCTCTGGTCCATGGGCCGACGCTCTAACTGCTGAGCCAAACTGGCCAGGGCACCTTTCAGTGTTTTTTTAATTTTCTCTTTCTAGTGGGTATTTTCCTGGTTCTTCTTTTTAAAAAAAATTTGGATTCTTGGCCCTGGCTGGTTTGGCTCAGCAGTTGGAGTCTTAGCCTGTGGAACAAAGGGTCTCGGGTTTGATTCCTGGCCCTGTTCGGGGTTGTGTGGGAGGCAGTCAATCAGTGTGTCTCTCTCACGTCATGCTTCTCTTCCTCTCTCTCTCCCTTCTTCCCACTCTACTTGAAAAATCAAAAGGAAAATATCCTCTGGTGAGGATTAAAAAGACAAATTTGATTCTTGGTATTTTGAGCATTTTCTTAAGACTGGCTTTTATTTAAATCTCCTGTTTTTAGCAGGTCTTCTCTGACACCATACTGGCAAGGGAAGGGAGGTGCCACCTGTTACTGCCAGGTAGAGTGGAAGTTCAGATTCTCCACTCAGTCTGTATTGATATCTGGTGACAGGGGATGGGAGGGCGCCTCATTCTCGAGGCCTGGGATGGCTGTTTGGGCTCCTCACTGGACCTGCGAGGGCAGTACCTTGTCCGAGAAGGTGAGATGTGCTGCGACGCAGCCTGGCAAGCGTGGAAGTCTATGATTCCTATCAGGCCTTTGTTGATATGGGTGAGGGTGGCATCACCCTGTATTTTTTTGTGGAGTCTGGCTGCAGTATGGTTACTACCTAAAAGTTTTCTGTCTTCCAGATCTGCCCCTTTCTTTGTCCTTTGGCTAGAAAGAGCATGCTTTTCTTAGGCTTTTAAATGTCCATGTCTATTGACATGTTTAGATTGCTGGCTTCCCTGACACCCAGTGTGGAATAGAAGAGGCAAAAAGAAAACCCAGGGAACTCAATGTTATGTCATTCCTTGGGTCCCAAGATCCCTTTTTGGTCTGCTTTTATTTTCTCATTCTAATTTTTTTTTTTTTTTATCCTCACCCGAGGACATTTTTCCATTTTTTGTTCAGGTAGAGTGGGAGGGAGAGAGAGGAACAGAGAGAGAGAGAGAGAGAGAAACATCGATGTGAAAGGAACACATTGAGTGGTTGCCACCCGCACGACTGACCAGAGCCGGGTACAAACCGCAACCGAGGTACATGCCCTTAGCGGGAACCGAACCCGGGTCTCTCAGGACTGCAGGCTGGCGCTCTAACCGCTGAGCCAAACCGGCCAAGGCCTAATTTTTGTTTTTTAATATGTTTTTATTGATTTTTTTTAGAGAGAGAGGAAGAGAGAGAAAGATAAAAACATTGATGTGCGAGAGATACATCACTTGGCTGCCTCCTGCACGCCCCCCTCTGGCGACGAGGCCACAACCCTATTGGGAACCAAACCGGGTCCTCTTAGTCCATGGAATGATGCTCAATCCACTGTACCACACTGGCTGGGCTCTCATTTAAATTTTTTTTTCCTTTATTGATTTTTAGAGAGAGAGGAAGTGAGAAGGAGAGAGACATAGAAACATCAATGAGAGAAAACATCGACTGGCCACCTCCTGCATGCCCCCCACCAGGGATCAGGCCCACAACCTGGGCATGTGTCCTGACTGGGAATCAAACCGGCAACCTCTTGGTGCATGGGTTGATGCTCAACCACTGAGCCACACCGGCTGGACTCTCATTCTAATTTTAATCTAAATTTGTTATAAGGATGAAACAGTTGGTTGTTTATAACTATAAGGCATTCAGAACAATTATTATTATTTTTTAATCCTCACCTGAGGATATTTTTCTATTTACCTTCAGATAGAGTGGGAGGGAGAGAGAGGGAGAATAAGGGAGAGAGAGAGAAACATCAACGTGAGAGGGACACATCAACTGGTTGCCTCCTGCACAACCCCAATCAGGGCCGGGGACCATCTGCAACCGAGGTACGTGCCCTTGACCAGACTCGAACCCGAGATACTCTGGTCCACATCGACGCCCTACCACTGAGCCAAACTGGCCAGGGCAAGAACAATTATTTTAACATATAATCATAACAATTATTAAAGCTTTAGGCAATGGGTTAAAAATGAGAAGTTATCAGCATCAGATGAAATTCAGCTTCTATACTCTGTGTAAATATACCTCCCACCACAAACAAGTAAACCAATATTACTGGTTAATTGTAAGAGTTTTTATTATAAATAACAAGTATAACTGAGAATAACAGAGGAATTCCTTATAATCAAATTACCAAATTTGATCAGACATTATAAGGTACCCTTGTCTTAACTTGACAAATGATTATATTCCCAGTATGTTCAAGTCATCTGAATTAAATATACGCACCTTCTTTAGTCATATAGTAATACAGATAATCTGTGGGCTCATCTTTTTCTCCAGTTTGGAGTATTACTTACTATTAGAGTATTACTCCAAATATATTCTCTTTTTCTCCTTCTAGAACATTCAGTAGTTGGCTGGTAGAAATTATAGCCAAGTCTCTTGAAACTAAAGATCATACTTATTCTTTTATTTTGCGCTGCATTTGAGGTCATTGACTTACCACTTCACTCTAGCAGTCTTTCTCCATTCTGCTACTTTCTTATTATTGAGAATATTTTCTTCCACGTTTTGACATATTTTTTTTTGTTGTTGTTGTTAATCTTCACCCAAGGATATTTTTCCATAGATTTTTAGAGACAGTAGAAGAGAGGAAGAAGCGGGGGACAGATAGAGAGAGAGAGAGAGGAACATCGATATGAGAGAGACACATTGATTGGTTGCCTCCTGTATGTCTCCAGTCGGGGTCGGGGATTGAACCTGCAACCTAGGTCCATGCCCTTGACCAGAATTGAACCATGACCCTTCAGTTCATGAGCCAATGCTTTAACAACTGAGCCACACCGGCCAGGGCTTGACATAATTTAAATATCCAAGACTACTAATTGTTCTTTTTCATGAAAGATACCTTTTACAGGTATCTTATTCTCTCATATTTCTTTGAATATATTAGGCACATTTCAAAATCTCCCGTTTGCTGTGTTGCCTTGGTTTTCTTCAGTGTTATCTTTTGTCCTTTCATTTGGGGTGCTGGTTTTTCTCAGATGTTGTCTGAGAGTCCCTGCGGGCCTGACTCTTTAGTACTGTGTTTACCTATACCCTTCATTGGTAATAGGGTAGAATATGGTGTGGGGTGTGGGTGCCAGGAGACTGTAATGATGTGGGACTTTCAAGGTGTCTTGGCTGCTGCCAGACACTGAGTGTACCTTACTGCCCCCCTGGTCATGCTAACTGTGCTAGCCTGGGCATGGACCCACAATTGCTTTCCAGCCCTCTGGGCATGTCGAGGGAGCCCCAGAACTCACACAGTTGCTGGAGTTTTTGCATCTTTTCAAGCTGTCATCTTTTGCGGGTTCTGGACTATGGATCCAACTTGACGGTCATTTCATCTTTTTTGAATTCCTCAAAATTCCACGTCCACTTTTTCTAGCAATGATTCCCATTTATAGTTTTAAAATATCTTGCCATTTCTTTTCTTTTTTTTTAAAATTTATTTTTATCCTCACCCGAGGATATTTTTCCATTTCTTTGTACAGATAGAGTGGGAGGGAGAGAGAGGAAGGGAGAGAGAGAGAGAAACATCGATGTGAAAGAGACACATCGAGTGGCTGCCACCCGCACGACCAACCAGGGCCGGGGACAAACTGCAACCGAGGTACGTGCCCTTAGCGGGAACCGAACCCGGGTCTCTCCGGACCACAGGCTGACACTCTAACCACTGAGCCAAACTGGCCAGGGCTATCTTGCCATTTCTATGGTTTTCTGTCAGAGGGCCTACTGCAATATTTACTCTGAGTGTCATTTTGCTTCAGTCCAATTGTACACTATTAGTAATAGCAGGGGTGCTTGTAGGTGATGGACGGCTGTTTGTACAAGCTTTGGAGTCAGAGAGAAGGTATTAAATCTCAGCTGTAAAACGTATATGGTATTCTAAAGGCCCTTTATATAATTTCTCTCATCCTTACCTTTATTATCTATAAAATGGAAAAATAATGTTTATTACATTTTCTTATTACACATATTAAGTGAAAAATTATGTAATTTTGCTTTGTTTTCTGCCACAAAAAGTTGTACCCAAGCTAGTTTGATAACTGCCCTGTCAGGGGTCCTTCCTCACCATGCTAACATGGACAAATCAATTATTCTTGCATTTCAGTTTTCTCACTTGTATGTAAGGTATGATACCAATTTTACTCTTTGTTTGGAGGAGTTGTGAAGAGCACCGGAAGAAGGGGAAACTAAGCATCTACTGTGGACATACATTGCTGTGAGTAATTTGCATATGTTATCTAAACCCCACATCAGCTGGATAAAATGCATGTTAGTATTCCCATTTTATAGATTGAAAACTGAGGCTCCAAAAGTTTGTGACATGTAAAATCTAAAGCAATAAATGTTTGGAATAAGTATTAGAGATATAAAAGTGCAATAAAGAATGTAAAGTACCTTGATATTTTTATATTGATTACATGTTGAAATAATATTTTGAATATATGTTCTAAATATGTTATTTGTTAATTTCACCCATTGTTACTTTTTTAAAATTGATTTTTAGAGAGAGGAAGGGAGAGAGAGAAAGAGAGAGATTGATGTGAGAGAGAAACATCAATTGGTTGCCTCCCAACTAGGTATGTGCTGGAAATTGAATCTCCCACCTTTTGGTGTATGGGATAACACTCCATCTAACTGAGCCACACTGGCCAGGGCTGTTGCTACTTTTTTAATGTGACCACTACAAAATCTGAAATTCCATGTATGACTCTCATTATATTTCTGTTGGACAGCACTGCTGGGTCTGAAGTGATGAAAGGGAATCAGGCCAAGGAGGAAAGCCTATTTCACAAAGGAGGAAGAGGCATTATTAATCATGATAATTAGTTTATTGAATAAATGTATGGATTAAGTTTTACCCCAATGCCCTTGCTACTCCCCCACCTCCTTTTTAAAACAAAACAAAACAAAACAAAACAAAACAAATAACCAACGATGTGTAAGGAAGGGAGAGTATTTGCAGTGTTATTGGTGGTCTCCGTCTCTGGGCACGGGGAGCAAGAAAGCAACAGTCAGCCTTTCTAGAGGAATTTTACTGACTCTAGGATCACAAACCTAGGACCACACACTGACTGAGGAGTCTGAAGAAAAGTGAATGCAATCTTGATAATATCGCTGTACAGTTTTGAAATCAAGGGTAGAGAGTTATGAAGACAACAAGCAATTGAAAAAGCAACTAGCCCATTAAGTGGACTGACTGATCCTGCTCTACAGTTTTACTCTAAACACCTGGATTTTGGAAATATGTTCTTATTCTAGGAATCTACATTAGACTCTCTAAATAGACAGTCTATATTAGAGAGCAGCCAGTAACAACAAACTTTAGGCGTCTCCAGTAATACTTAAACCCTTCAGCCAAGGATGCTTTTTTTATGGCAGGTCTGGCCCAGGGAGATGGTGATGGACCTGTTCTCTGACAGTCTGCCTATCAAAGCAAGGACCTAAGGAACAATAGACATAAAGAAAGGTGATTATTCTTCCATCTGTCCACTCCCACTTGGGCCATCAATTCTCACTCTTTACAGGCACATGCAATAACTTAGGGTGTCAAGGGAATTCCCATGAGAGCTAGCCCAATATTTACCTGCCGCACTTCCCTGTCACTGACCAGGCTTCTCCAGGCAATTATGAATGTGGTAAAATTCTTAAAACACAGGAACTTCCTCCTTGACTCAGAAGAGTAAGAAAACATGTACAATATAAGCGTAAAGGCATAAATTCTAATCAATGCTGCAAAAGATTGTGTTACCAATAAGTTTAAGCTAACATTCTGAAACATTTTTTAGGAGGAGCTAACTAACATTCAAAAATTGCCCATATAAGTTCGTAGCTTACATTCTATTTAAACATTTTTAGAGCGAGTGTTTACTGCAATAGACAAAAAACAGACAATATATCTGAACCTAAACCTAAATGTGAAAATGGATCCACAGCACATTGTTAACCATTTTCCAAATAAATATGTTTAAATGCTTCACCATACAGAGCTATGGCTTCCTGGAGGGGTTGCAAATCAGTTTCTACAGATGAGCTAGTTTCTGTTGAAGTAGCTCTGGTTAGGGGACACTATGGTCCCTCTGGGGGGATTGCTAGAGTTTCATGGTGGAGGAACTTTCCCACACAAACATAATCAAATCTTCTCTACCAATAGTTATTTTGCATGTTTTAACACAAGCCAACACATCCTTATTGTGTCACTGATAGCCAGTCTCAATTCCAATATCAAAACTTTGCTGATGGCCTGGCCAGTGTGGCTCAGTGGATAGAGCTTCAGCCCATGTACCAAAGTGTCACTGGTTTGATTCCTGGTCCAGGGTACATACATAAGTTGCAAGTTCAATTCCCATCCAGGGTTGGGGTGGGAGGTAACCAATTGATGTGTTTCTTTTACATCATGTTTTTTTTTTTCTCTCTCTCTTTCTCTCTCCCCTCCCCACCATCACTCCCTTCCACTCTCTCTGAAAATCAATGGGAAAAATATCTTCTGGTGAGGATTAACAAAACAAACTCAAAAAATAAAAAAACTTCACTGATGGGTGTCCACTTTCTTTGTCGAGACGGGTGACCACGGTGGCTGTGTTTTGGATAGGTGATCCAGAGAGAAAGTCCTGGATGCTGACACACTCAGTCTTTGTGGAGCTGGGCCAGGCGGTGGCTGAGTTCTGGAGCAGGTGCCATTGCTAGGGCTTGGCCGCTGCCGCCTCCTGCAGCTCGGGGGCACTGGTTGTCGTCCACCAGGCACAGCCACTCCCATCTGGAGAGCCAGTACTCCGCACTGCCCCTGGGTCTCTGCCTAGCTTTCTTCCTTTCACTCCTCCATCTCCTCTGGCATCCCCTCCCGCGGCCTCCTGTGGCCTCCTGCAGCCACTTGCAGCCTCCCCAGCCTCTCCCGGCCTCATTGCAGCCCTTGCTGAGGACTCCTCCTCAGGCAAGGCTCCTGTTTAGTCATCCAGCGTCCTGGAGTTGGGTCCAGCGGCCTGCCCCCAAGGCCTCCTGTTCCTCATGGCCTGCAATGGCCCCTGGCCTCCAAGGTTCCCAGCACATGGTGCTGCCCACCCCCTGCAATCCTGGGGGGGGGGGGGGGGGGGGCGGATTGCAATCAACATCTCTGAGTGTTTATTCCTTGCACTTGGTTAGAGCATGGTTCCCATACACCAAGGTGTGTGGATCCCTGGTCAGGGCACATACACAAATCAACCAGTGAATGCATAAATAAGTGGAACAAGTTGATGTTTCTCTCTCTCTCTCTCTCTCTCTCTCTCATAAATTAAAAAAAAAATTAAATTGAGTGTTCATGACTATCATGTGTCAGTCTCCCAAGAATGTGTATGTGCTTTGAAACTTTTGTCAATGATCTGCTGACTGGTGCTGCTATTTTAATATTTAGTGTTGTTAAAATTAAAAAGAAAATTTAAACCAACACAAATATTTAGAAGTGTGTTAATGCTTGCACTGTAAGGCATGCTTGAAAATTGATAACTCTGGAATATAATTTTGATTTTGATATACTCTACAGCAATATTGGTAGAGAATAGTTTGCAATGTTCAGAAAATATGAAGCAGAATTAAAACAAAAATGTTCTATTCTATTTGTAGATTTGTGCATTCTGAGAATACACTCTCTATACTTATTCCAATGAGAAAATTAGTATTTGATTATTTAGGGAGTGTATCTTCCCATGTCTTCACTAACACATTACTCAGATCACTGATATGCATTAAAATGTATTTTACTGAATCCTGATTTTAAAAATAAACAGCTTAAAAAAAATTAGCAAAACCTCTGTTATACATTGTTGAGACAACTGGGGAAATTAAATATGGACTTGATATTAGATGCTTTTTATAGAATTACTGGGAAATTTTATAGGTGTGATAATAGTATTGTTATGTATAAGTGTAACCCACCCCTCTATTCTTTTAATATTGTTTCTGTTAAAAGTGTTTTTATAATAGATGAATTGTTAACTAATATGTAACCCATGGATAAGTTGTATATTTGTGTAAGAGTTCTAGGAATTAGCTTTGGGGAAGGAGGCTGACTCCAGCAAACAGACATTCTGGCTCAGGAGACTTGCTGATTTTCAACCATAAAAACTTTCAACCCTCTCCCCCCTGATTTCTTTGTTCTGCTTTCCCTCTCCCTCCTAATAATATATTAATATGTTATGATGGGCTTTAGGATGAGAATCTCCCATTTTCTCAGGTGGCTGACACTTGAATAAACCGCTTTTCTTTTCACCAGCACCTATTTCACAAGTTTGGCTTTCGTGGAAGCAGGCAGCTGAACCTGCTTTTGGTTATAGTTGTATGTCCTTAATTTTAGAAGATACACGATGATATATTTAGGGCTAGTGTGCTATCACAAATAAATACACGTGTAGATAAAGCAAATATAGCAAAATATTAACAGCTGTTGACTCTGTAACCACAGAATCAGCTCAAAAGTAAAATGCTTTTAGTTTTTCCCCATTAAGTATGATGCTAGCTGTGGGTTTGTGATATATGGCCTTTATTACGTTTAGGTATATTTCCCCTATTTTCACTTTGCTGGGAGTTTTTATCATAAATGGATGTTGGATTTGCCAATTGCTTTTTCTGCATCTATTGATATGATCATATGACTTTTATCCTTCATTTTGTTTGTGTGGTGTATTACATTAATTGATTTGCGCATATTGAACCAACCTTGCGTCTCAGGAATAAATCCCACTTGATTATGTTGTATGATCTTTTTTATTCTGTAAAGATTTTTTATTTTATTTTAATTTTAAATGGATTTTATTATTATATTAACATTTAGAAGATTCACATTTTTTTTTTTTGTTTTTTTTTATCCTCACCCGAGGACATTTTTCCATTTTTTGTTCAGGTAGAGTGGGAGGGAGAGAGAGGAACAGAGAGAGAGAGAGAAACATCGATGTGAAAGGGACACATCGAGTGGCTGCCACCCGCACAACCGACCAGGGCCGGGGACAAACTGCAGCCGAGGCACGCGCCCTTAGCGGGAACCGAACCCGGGTCTCTCAGGACCGCAGGCCGACGCTCTAACTGCTGAGCCAAACTGGCCAGGGCAGAAGAAGATTCACATTTTAATGTTAGTAATTCTTTTCATTCAAAACTGTATTCCAGCCCTTTATTCATAGAGCATATTATGCTCTTCAATACAAATATGTAGTTTTCAACATAGGGATAAGTCCAACACCAGTTCTCTCTTTGGGACTCTCACAGAATTGGGGACATACCAGAACATAAACATCATAAACTCAGCAAATTTTCTCCTTTTTCTTATTTTTTTAATATTTAGTCATTTAATGAGAATTTTTAAAAGAAAAATTAAATTTATTGGGGTAACATTGGTTAATAAGATTCTATAGGTTTCAAGTGTACAATTCTATGATACAACTGTATATTTATTGCATTGTGGGCCCATGCCCAAAGTCAAATCTTTTTCTGTTACCATATATTTGACCCCATTTACCCTTTACTACCCCCCACCCCTGCCCTCTGGTAACCACCTTACTGTTGTCTGTATCTATGAGTTTTTGTTGGTTTGTTTTCCTGTTTTTTTAAATTATTATTTGTTGCTTTTATTTCTATATCCCACATATGAGTGAAATCATATGGGTCTTAACTTTTTCTGTCTGACATATTTCACTTATCATGATATTCTCAAGATCCATCTATGTTGTCCCAAATGGCAGTATTTCGTCTTTTCTAATGGCTGAGTAGTATTCCATTATATATGTATATGTACCACATCTTTTTTATCTAATCCTGTAGCAAAAAAACACTTTGTTTTTATGTCTTGGACACTGTGAATAATGCTGCAGTGACCATAAGGGTGCACTTATCTTTGCAAATAAATGTTTTCAAATTTTTCAGGTAGATTTCCAAAGGAGGAGTCGCTGGCCCATATGGTAATTCAATTCTTAATTTTTGGAGGAGTCTCCATACTGTTTTCCAGAGTGGCTGCACCAGTTTACAATTCCAAACAGCAGTGCATGAGGGTTCCTTTTTCTCCAGAACCTCTCCAACACTTGTTATTACTTGTCTTGTTGTTAATTGCCATTCTGCAAGGTGTGAGGGGGTATCTCATTGTAGTTTTTTGTTTTTCAAATACTCACCCCACAGTTCTTTTCACTGATTTTTTTCAGATAGAGTGGGAGGGAGAGAGGGAGGGAAGGAGAGAGAGAGAGAGAGAGAGAGAGAGAGAGAGAGAGAGATATCGACGTGAGAGAGACACATTGATTGGTTGCCTCCTGCATGACCCTGACAGGGGCTGAGGACTGAACCGACAACTGAGGTATGTGCCCTTGACTGGGCTTTGAACCTGTGACTTTTTGGTCTGTGGGCCAATGCTCTAACCACTAAGCCAAACTGGCCAGGGCTCATTATAGTTTTGATTTGCATTTCTGTAACAGATGCTGAAGTTGAGCATCTTTTCATGTATCTGTTGGCCATTTTTATATCTTCTTGAGAAAAGTGTCTCTTCAGGTCCTCTGCCCCTGCTTTTTAAAACATTTTTATTTATTTATTTATTAGAGAGAGAGGAAAGGAGAAGGAGAAAGAGAAACATTTGTATGAGAGGATAACATCAATTGGCTGCCTCCTACATACTCTCTACCGGGGATGGAGCCCGAAACCTGGGCATGTGCCCTGACCAGGAATTGAACCAGCAACCTTTTGGTGCATGGGATGGTGCCCAATCAATTGAGCCACACTGGCCAGGGCTGCCCATTTTTTAAATGGATTGTTTGTTTGGTGTTGAGTTGTATGAGTTCTTTATATATTTTGGATATTAATCCTTAGTCAGAGCTGTTTTTGCAAACATCTTCTCCCATTCTGTTGGGTGCCTTTTTGTGTTGTTGGCAGTTTCTTTTGCTGTGCAGAAGCTTTTTAGTGCAATATAGTCCCATTCATTTATTTTTGCCTTTACTTCCCTTGCCTTTGGGGTCAAATCAATGAAATCTTCTCTAAGACCAATGACCATAAGTTTAGTAACTATGTTTTCTTCTATGAAATTGATTGTTTCAGGTCTTATAATTAGGTCTTTGATCCAGTTTTTGTTACTTTTTGTATATGGGAACAAACATATAATTTCATTCTTTTGCATGTGGCTTTCCAATTTTCCCAGCAGCATTTATTGAAGAGGCTTTTTCTCTGTTGTATGTTTTAGGCTCCTTTATTGAAAATTATTTGCCCATATAAAAGTGGGTTTACTTCTGGGCTCTTAATTCTGTTCCATTGGTCTGTGTATCTGTTTTTCTGCCAATACCATGCTGTTTTGATGATCATTTCTCTGTAGTATCATTTTAAATCAGAGAGTGTGATACCTTCGGCTTTGTTCTTCTTCTCAGAATTGCTTTGACTATTTGAGGTCTTTTGTGGTTTCATACAAATCTGATGTTTTTTTTTTTGCTTTTATTTCTTGGAAAATGTCATTGGGATTTTGACAGGGATTGCTGTAAATCTGTATATTGCTTTGGGTAATATGTACATTTTAGCTATGTTGATTATTCCAATTATGAACATGAAATATCTTTCCATTTCATTGTCTTTTTCAATCTCTTTTATTTTTAAATATATTTAAGAAATCCTCACCCAAGGATATATTTATTGATTTTAGAGAGAGGGAGGGAGAGAGAGAGAGGGAGAGAGAAACATTGATGTGAGGGAAACATCGATTGGTTGCCTCCCATATTTGCCCTAACGAGGGATTGAACCCATAACCATTTGGTGTAAGGGACAGTGTTCCAACCAATTGAACCACCAGGCCAGGGCATTAATCTCTTTTTCTTTCAATCTTTCTTTTTTTTTTTTTAATCCTCACCCGAGGATATTTTTCCATTTTTTGTACAGATAGAGTGGGAGGGAGAGAGAGTGAGAAACATCGATATGAAGGGACACATCGAGTGGCTACCACCCGCACGACCAACCAGGGCCGGGGACAAACTGCAACCGAAGTACGTGCCCTTAGCGGGAACTGAACCCGGATCTTTCCGGACCGCAGGCCGACGCTCCAACCGCTGAGCCAAACTGGCCAGGGCTCTTTCAATCTCTTTTAATAATGCTTTGTTGTTTTCAGTATATAGGTTTTTCACATTTTTGTTAAGTTTATTTCTAGGTATTTTATTCTTTTTTATGCAATTGCAAAAATAATTATTTTTTCCATTTCTCTTTCTGAAATTTCATTGTTAGTATATAAGAATGCAATGTATTTTTGTACATAGATTTTGTATCCTGCAGTTTTACTGTATTTGTTAAAATTTTCTATTAGTTTTTTGGTGGAGTTTTTAGGGCTTTCTAAATAAAGAATCATATCATCGGCAAAAAGTGACAATTTTACTTCTTCATTCTCAATTTGGATGCTTTTTATTTCTTTCTCTTGCCTGATTGCTCTAGCTAGGACTTCCATATTATGTTGAATACGATGGTGAGAGTGGACACACTTGTATTGTTCCTGATCTTAGAGGAAAAGCTTTCCATTGAGTATGATATTACCTAAGTATTTGTCATATATGATCTTTATTATGTTGAGGTACTTTCCTTCTAATACCCATTTAATTGAGTGTTTAATCATAAGTGGATGTTGTATCTTATCAAATTCTTTTTCTGGCCCTGGCCGGTTTAGCTCAGTGGTTAGAGCGTTGGCCTGCGGTCCGGAGAGACCCGGGTTCAGTTCCCGCTAAGGGCACGTACCTCGGTTGCAGTTTGTCCCCGGCCCTGGTTGGTCGTGCGGGTGGCAGCCACTCGATGTGTCCCTTCCACGTCGATGTTTCTCTCTCTCTCTCTCTCTCTCTCTCTCTCTCTCTCTCCCCCCCCCTCCCACTCTATCTGTACAAAAATTGGAAAAATGTCCTCGGGTGAGGATAAAAAAAAAAAAAAAATTCTTTTTCTGCATCTGTTGATAAGATCACATGATTTTTATCTATTTTTTTAATGTGATGTATTATATTGATCAATTTGCATATGTTGAACTATCCTTGTGCCCCTGGAATGAACCCCATTGATTGTGATATTTAAAAATATATATTGTTGATCTCAACACCAGATATCAGGTTATACTACAAAGCGACTGTAACCAAAACATTTTGGTACTGGCACAAGAACAGGCATATAGACCAGTGGAACAGAATAGAGAACCCAGAAATGAACCCAAGGCAATATGCCCAATTAATATTTGACAAAGGTGACAAGAGCATACAGTGGAGTAAAGACAGCCTCTTTAATAAATGGTGTTGGGAAAATTGGACAGCTACATGCAAAGATATGAAACTAGCCTATCAACTTACACCATACAAAAAAATAAACTCAAAATGGATAAAAGACTTAAATGTGACCCATGAATCCATAAAAATTCTGGAAGAAAATGTAGGCAACACAATTTTGAAAATTATACGTAGCAGAATTTTCACTGATACATCACCTAAGGCAATAGAAACAAAGGAGAAAATGAACACATGGGACTACATCAAACTAGAAAGCTTCTGCACAGTAAAAGAAACAACCATAAAAATGGAAAGGCAACCTACTGTATGGGAGAACATCATTGCCAATGATACATCAGATAAGGGGTTAATTTCCAAAATATATAGAGTATTCATACAACTCAACAAAAGGAAGACAAAGAACCCAATTAAAAAATGGGCAGAGGAGCTAAATAGACACCTCTCCAAACAGGACATACAAATGGCCAAGAGACATATGAAGAAATGCTCGACATCACTAATTATCAGAGAGATGCAAATTAAAACAACAATGAGGTATCACCTCACACCTGTCAGAATGGCCGCCATCAACAAATAATGGCGAGGGTGTGGAGAAGAGGGAACTCTAGTGCACTGCTGGTGGGAATGCAGACTGGTGCAGCCACTGTGGAAAACAATATGGTGTTACCTCAAAAAATTAAAAATTGAACTTTCATTTGACCCAGTGATCCCGCTTCTAGGAATATACTCTAAGAAGCCTGAAACACCAATCAGAAAGAATATATGTACCCCCATGTTCATAGCAGCACTAAGATGTGGAAACAGCCCAAGTGTCCATCAGTAGACGAATGGATAAAAAAGCTGTGGTACATATACACAATGGAGTACTATGCAGCTGTAAGAAAGAAAGACCTCTTATCCTTTGAGATGACATGGAGGGTATTATCCTAAGTGAAACAAGCCAAGCAGAAAAAGACAAATACCATGATCTCACTTATATATGGATTATAATGAATATAACAGTCTGAGGAATAGGGTAGACCCAGAAACACGGAAGTAGGGTACAGACTGACATTCCTCAGAAGAGGGGGTAGTGGGGTTGGGAAGAGATACACCATAGAACTTAAATGAATGTATGCATAACCAAGGGACATGGACAACAAAGCCGGGGACGGGGTGGTGGAGATGGGGATGGGGTGTCAATGGGGTAAAAAAGGAGAAACATCTGTAACAAAAATAAAATATATATGTATATATATATATATATTGTTGTGCTTAATTTGGTAGTATTTTGTTTAAGATTTTTGCATCTGTATTCATCAGAGATATTGGTCTGTCATTTTATTTTTTGTGTTATTCTTGCCAGGTTTTGGTATCAGGTTTATGTTGGCCTTATGAAATGTGCTAGGAAGTATTGCCTCTTCTTCAGTTTTTTTTTTTTTTTTTTAAGAGTTTGAGAAGGATAGGCATCAAATCTTTTTTGAATATTTGGTAGAATTCACTAGAGAAGCCATTTGGTCCTGGAATTTTATTTTTTAGTGGGTTTTTGATGGTTGTTTCAATTCCTTCACTCTTGATCAGTCTATTTAGATTTTCCAGTTCTTTATAATTCAGTAAAGGAAGGTTGTATATTTCTAGAAACTTTTCCATTTCTTCTAGGTTATTGAATTTGGTGACATAGTCTTTCATAGTATTCTTGTATGATTCTTTGTTTTT